AATTATTGTGCATATTTATAATTAATCAAATGATTTTGAATAAATGTCAAGACTAAAAAAATATGGTTTGTTTTCACACAAAAAAATAAATATTAATTGTACGGTTGGTCTACAAACCTTATCTTGTCTCTAATGGTACAGATAGAGGAAAATATTGGTGACAAGGATAAAGTCGGTGACAATAAATAATGTTTTATAAAACAAAAAAAAATATTATTAACATTTTGATAATAAGTTAATTAAACAAACACTTACTGTCAATCCTTTTGCATATAGTGTTTTACACATTGTAACGCCTATTTCTTATCACTTAATGAACAATTCACAGAATATTTTGGCTCTATAACAAAACCGAATAAAAAACTCGTTAACTTTAAAGAAATAACACACAACATTAAAATTTAAAATAATCAAAAGAAAACAATCAATCAGCAACAAATGAAAGGATTATCGCGTCATTTCAAAGTAAAGAGATGGTTATCAGTAATGTTAAAAGCGCTTCCACTTTTTTCATTGATATATAAAATGTATTCCGATTTGTCAAATGGTTTTAGACTGTTTTCCAGACAACAATATTTTCCAATCAAACAACAATGATTAAACGTACAGCCCCAACAACTACGTTAATTTCGTTAACATTGCAGACCTTGACTCCAAACAAAAAGAGATAATAAACGAGATCTTAGTCTGCCACATCAAAGAAGTGACAGATATCATTGTGTTTGATCCATCCAACGAAAGTCTAAATAATCATATTCTTCCAGAAAAAAAGTAAAAAACTATGTAAAAAACAAACTCGTTATAACGAATTTGTAAGACTGTTCCCCCTTCTATCATCTCAACTGAACTCGTTGTAATTTAAAGTGTACAATGGCAACGATTGGAAGAGTATCTGGCTTTTTAATGTCTTTTGTTAATTCAAGTGAGTTTTGTGGATGAGGGTTCGTGGTTTCAATGATAATCATTTATTTTTATTATTGAAGTTCTTTTATTATTAAGATCACCTTTTTTCAGAAAGCTTGGACACATATTGCCCTTTTTGTGTTTTTAAAATTACAGTCTTTTTCCCCTCAATTTTTTAGAAACACTAAA